AAACACCACAACAAATAACCTTGAAACATACCCGGTACAAATCAAGGGGGGTACCTTATACGGCGTTTTACGGTAGTTGCCGGTTCGAGGTTTTCCCTTGCCGGCACTCATATTGTACATTTTCTACAGATCATAAATAATATGTAACATAATAGATCTTATCCACGATTACACGGTTACGTATTTTTTTGCGGATTTCTAAATACTAGGCTTGTTAAAATTTTAGATGTCCTGCCTTAGAGGTCGCATTTTTTAAATTGATTACTAATCGATTTGTAATTAAAACTCACGTGGCATGCAACACTTATCGTTGTAAGGCTTTAGACCAATTTTTAGGGTAAATTCAATATCGATATGTTGATCTACATACTGTATAAGTCAATTATTTAAATGCCATTTATATCATTTATATTGAGCGCGAAGTCACTTTAATATTTACCACTCTTTTAGCGATCCCTAATCTCATCTTTTATTGGTTGATAAAGAAACACTCCTGATGCATTAATTTTGAAAAATCATTTTTTAGGATAAATTGTGATATCAGTCATAGTCGATTTTTACCTTAGAGATATCGAAGTGTTATAGTTTAATTTCAATATCTGAATAAAGAAATCTCTAACCTAATAGGAACCGCGATTGTTACCACTCGAATATCCCAAATCGCGTTAGTATCCTACGATGCTAAAAATTAAAGACCCTTTTTTTAGGTTGTTTCGTATAAATTATAAAGGACAAATATTTTAAAAAAACTATAATTTAAAGATTTATTTAGCTTGAAGGTTAAAAGCTATAGTTTCCAGATAAATTTAATAATTGAATTTCTTTGCAAAATTTAAAGGGACTGACTGTTAATTAATTAAGTACGTATAAGATTGTTAACCCGAAATATATAATTTACCAGACAATTCGGGTAACCTAATAATCTCTAGTGATTTTCTCGATGAATCCAATCTATAAATTAACCCTTAACACAATTAATAATTAATTAATATGATCATAATTGCATTATACGTACGTATCACACTTGATATTGAAAATGTAAACATAATGAATTATGGCTAACCCAAATTTTTGTCGGGAAAATATTACGTATATACATTTCCATAACAATATGAAAAATCCATATGTAATTTTTAGTAGTTCATATTATTGTGCATACGTACGTACTCAATTAGCAAATATGTGATATCAACGCGCAGAGTAGTGGATATGCATTATTGGTGTTGAACCTGCACTTTGAAAATCGAAACTCTTTACTATTTCTAGGTCAATTTAAGCGGAAGTTTCGGGAAAAGTTACCGATTAGTAATCTAGTCCTCACCTACTGCCGTGATTCGATAAATTTGTTGAGAAACCAAATAAGTAAATATCAACGGATCCAGAGTTTCAGCTCCAAGATTAATTTCTGCAAACATACTTATAATGTTACACATAAGCTTGTTCCGTCGTACCACGAGAAAAGACACTAACTTTACATGAAAATTATTAACAAACGAAATTACGAGAATCCTTGATGATTAATTATCACAGGTGATGGTCGTCACACTGTTGAGGATCACGTATTTCACCATTGTGTGTAATTAAATTAGGTAGCACATTCATAATGGACTCGGAGCTTTTTCAGTAGCCGAATGGATATTCGCTAGCAATGTTAAGGAAATGAGTCATAATGTTTATTAAATTGTACATTTACTTACTATTTACCTATCCTGTGACTAGCTTGTGCCTTGTAAGATCCTATTTTATCCTTCCATCTTCATCAAAAATTTCAAATACGTAAGCCACATAATAATGTACGACTCGGCCATCTAGCCCATCTAGCCTCTGTAATCACCATCGATAAGCACAGCCAATACAAAGGCACACAGCAACGGCAAAAAAAAAATAATAATAATAAATAAATAAATAAAAATCTGATAATAAAAATGAAAATAAACAAAATTTACCCAATACATACAAATAAAAGAACAATTAAATGCGCGGCGTAAATTGAAATCGATTGCCGAATTTTTAATCTGTCACACCTTAACGGCTAGATGATGAATTCATCACGACTTTTCGCAAGAGTTACGTAGTTTAGTGTGCGCGGAATTTGACGGCTTGGACTGTCTCACAGAACTGCATACAGGATAATATCATGTTCATCTTATTATTTATACGTATAAATAAAATAACTAAATTAACCAATGTATATTAATTCAATAACGATATACGTATATGATTATCATTTCTTGACTTAGTGTAATCAAAAAAAAACGAGTAAAGGCTAAACTTTTGTTAGCAATTCGATTACAGCATAGATGTTTCATTGGATGATGACATTTTTGCTAGTGTAGCTTGCTCGCTTTATTTGGTATTGATGCGATTAGAACTTCAATATCAGTCGCATCAGAACTGTCTCAGTTTTTTTATAGTGACCGAACCCTACTGTCTATAAGGTTTTTCTCAATTTTGTTACCCTGTACTTTTGTATTATTTGTGCTTGTTTACATAACCATATTTCCTTTCTTTACCCTTCCTACTTTTGCCTGTGTTATTTCCGTCATACGATTATTTGTCTTTTGACATTTCGACCTTAGAAACGTCAAAGTGTCCAATATTTTCTGGTGCTCCGAATAACCTTTATTGGCATTTCCATGGTTCTTTTGGTTTTGCGTTCTAAAAAAAATTTATGTTAATATAAGGAATAACGTAAAAAAAAAATAAAGAAGTGGTAAGTCTACTCATCCCGTTTAATATCTTTTCGATTTTGTTGATTTAAATAAATCATTCCTTAATTTTTTTTTTACAGGCTGTTTTAACTTTATATGACGTATCTTCGGTCTACTATCTTTGCGACTTCAAATAAATTTGCTGATGGTTTTATGCTGGATATTTTGTTCGCATATAGTTCATATGAATTGCAATTTGTAATCTCGCGTCTCGTTTTCATTAACACTAATTCTTAACGGTATAATATCTTTGGGAGGTTATCACCCTTTTTGACATTAATTTTTAATTATTCAAAATTCTTTCAAGAAAAAAAAAAAAAAAAAAGCCACATAGACAGACATCCCTTATATAATCATACACTTCATAGTAATGGGAATACATCATTATATTTTCGAGTTAGTTGCTCCTACAACTGCTATCGGTGCTGTTTTTGTCCTTCTTATAGGGCCTGTATTCTTTCCACGTGTTTATATTTGGTTTTTGTTGGCTTACTTCACAACCTTTTTATATATTTCTGTAAACCATTTTCTAAAATTTTGTTTAACTGTACGGAACATCAAAAAGAACATTAGAGATTGGAATTCAAAACAAGAACAACAATCTTCTTCACGAGATTATGATTCTAAGGAAGTGGTTAAAAGTACCGCTACCAATAATGGAAGGATAACTCCAACGAGAAACGGTTATACATCTATATCTATGAATGATGATGACAACAAATACAGCGAGATGGAAAGTGCGCTTAAATATGAAGGACATTATATTCATGCTTTCGTTATTCCAAATTATGAAGAACCAGAGCCGTTATTGAGAGACACTATCAAAAGATTGGCTCAACACAGGTAGGGATCTTGGAAATTTTTTTTAATTATATCGACCCCTCATTCGATTTCTTATTAATCATGTTTTTATATAATCATTATTTTTTTAACCATTCATTAATCATCTCCGATTTATAAGGAACGCTACCACGGCTTATGTTATCATATTGGCAATGGAAGAGTCTGAGATTGATCATGCTTCAAAGGCTGCAAGCCTTAAGAGAACTTTCGATGGCTCTTTCCGTGACTTTATCATAACGGTTCATCCGAAAGATGTCCCTGGTGAAAGTCGAGGCAAGGGTAGCAACGTCGCATATGCAGCTCGTGAGGCATGTGAAATTTTAGCACGAAAAGTCGACAAACGGCACGTAGTGTTTACAATCACGGATTCGGATTCTGCAATTCCGGAACTTTATATTCGTCAAATTGAAAAGGCATTATCAGAATCAGAAGATCCTTATAGTACTATTTGTTCTCCCCCAATTTTCTTTTCGAGAAATGCATTGGACGTCCCTGCTGCTGTGCGGGTTACTGATATCATGTGGTCTATCATGGTCATGCAAAATTTAAGTAATCCTAGAGGATTAGCATTCCCTTGTTCTACGTATAGTTTAAGCATGGTAAAAATAAAAATAATAATAATAAATCAAAATTTTCAAATTTGTATTATTATTATTCTTTTTTTTCGTTAAATTTAACCATTTTTCATTAACATTTTTATTAACAAGGTTCTTGCTGAGCAAGTTGGTTTCTGGGATACCGATAAGGATGCTGTTGGCGAAGATCTACATATGTGGCTTAAATGCTTTTTCAAAACTGGTGGTGTTGCTAGATCTGTTCCTATATTTGTTCCGATAAATCTTACCAACGTTCAAACTACCGGTTATTTTTCAAATATTTATGCTCGCTTTGTTCAGGCTAAGCGTCATTATAATGGTGTTGCCGACGTTGCCTATTCATTGAAATCCGCCTTCAGTGGTGAACAACATTCTACCACTGATACAGAATCACTTCTTTTGAGTTCTACTTTAATGCCAGTTTATACTCCCTCTTCTGGAAAACGACCGTCCTGTCTTATGTCCTGTTCGTTTTTTGACAAGTTAGTTGTGGTTCTCCATGTCCTTGAAGCTCACATGATTCCATGCACGTCTGGTTGGTTAATGTTTGCTGCGGTACCTATAACACAATTTTTGTTGATATCCACGTATTCACCTATATCTAGTTATTATCCAAATTTCCAAAATCCAATTATTACTTCAGAGTTTTATGCATATATGTTTTCTCTAGTACAGGCGGTGAGCGTATTATTACCTATGCCTTTACTCTTGTGCGCAATGCTATACGAAGGATTACATAAGACGGTAGATGCCGAACTATTTAAGAAAGGTGTTAATGAAACACGGACGTGGAAAAATTACATGGATTATGCTTGGTTACCTGTTAGCGCTTGGTTATTTATGACTTTACCAAGTACATTGGCTTGTGTTAAAAGACTTACTAGAAGTAATGATAAATATGTTGTAGCCGCTAAAAATATATTCACTGAAGCTCTTACAGAATAACAGGATTGTAATCTTGTGTTCATAACTTATATCACATATACTTATATCTTTAGAATGGCATACACAACAAAACAAAGTTATTATTAATGACAAAACAGTAAACGGGGCTTAGTGAGTTTTTTTTTTTTGAAATTGATTCAAACTTTGTCATTGGATATTTTGTTGTTTAGTCAGAGGATTACTTAAGATTTTCATTTATGGCTAAGGTTTTAAACTTATATTCTACACCTTATTTCTAATTTTATAATGCTTTCGAAAAAAAGAATTCCTTTGCTTTTGTAAAGTTAATTTCAAACTATTGCGCGATACCTTTTCTATAATTAAGAATTACTAATATTTTTTTGCTTCCCTTCCTCTCACATTTACTATTTTCCCATTATGCCATTATTCCCGATGTAACATTTTACGACATTAATCACTTTCATCCATACAGTATTTACACAATCTTTGGGTATTTTTAATTTAAGTATTACAATGAACAGTTGATTCGTTCGAAACGAAAACTATTCAAAGGGCAATTTATAAAGTTGGTTATAGTTTGAAATCAAACTTTGAGAGCATGCGGGATTGTTTTGTAATACTATTTTCTCTTTGTAACTATTTTTTTAAAGTATTTATTTATATATATACATATATATATATGTTATATAAAGTAGAATGTATTGAGTTTTTTCTCGATTCTGTAAAGGTTGTAAAAAGATTTTAATTTGTTTTAAAATTTTTTATATTTTATATATAAAAAAAAAAGAAATTGTTATAATTTTTTTTAAAAAAAGTTAATGAATTTTTACAAATAATTTTTAAAACCCAGATTTATATTATGTAAAAGGTTAAATTTATACAGAATTCTATATACAGTAAGAGTAGTAATAGTGGTTTTAAATTAATCATACAGCATATTTTATTTTAATTATTATAGAATAAACTCATAATAGAAGTTGGTAAATAAGTTGTTAAAACTTTTAATTATTTTATTTAAATTAATATAGCTTGAATTATATTAAAATTATAGAATATTTATTAGATTATAAAATTATAAAATTATAAAAGATGTTTATATGCAAACCTTTAAAGATTTTAAACTATTTGTTAATTATAATTAGCAAATATAAGATTTGTTGTTCAATATTGTAAATTATTTTTTAAATTATAAGTAAATTTAGATAAAATTTTTTAAATCTGTTAAAAAAAAAATACAGTATTAAATTTTGTAATATTTTATAAAAAGATTATATACTGCAATATATAGCTAAAAAAAATATATATACTGTAATTTTTAAAAAAAATATTAAAAAATTATAACCTTTATTATTTTTTAAATTATAAAATATAGTATATATACGTATGATAGTAATAATTTTATTAGTAATAACTTTTGTTATATATTTTTAATACAGTATTTAAATATATTTTACAATTATAACTAAAACTATATACAATACGTATACATACGTACGTATTATACAGTATATTACTGTTTTAGAAATATTATTAATACGTACCGTATCGGCATAATTTTTAAAATTAATAATATTTTATTTAACTAAATTATTCAACTATAAGCTCTTTTACGTAATAGTTTGAGAATGCTAAACAGTCTTCCTTGTTTTCCAGAATTGGTTCCTACCGCTACTATTTTCTTGGAAATTACTTTACAATATTTAAGGTTAGGCCGATTTAAAGTTATCTTGATTTAGAATTCAATATTGGAGATTTAATTTGAGAAATGATAGTGGTTCTCGTAATTATTAACAAAATCACTAATATAACTTTATATTCACATAGTGACAGCGGATCGAATCTGGTTCAACATATCGTTCTAATTCAATTTTAGATGAACATAAATGTTTTATAACAAAGTAGATTTCCTTTTAGCATTAGAAATTCCATATTTATCGAAAAATTTAAGAGGAATTAAAGGCATGTTTGATTGGTGGATCGACCACGTGAGGTGAAATGTTGTGTTTCGAAGTCTATGTACTCTATGTACTGTAATAAAAATAAAAATTTATCACCACAGTGTCCTAGCACTATGGGTCTGTAGCACTATATTAAACTATATTAAATTGCGTTCTACGTATATACGTACGTACGTACGTAGAAAAACGTTTTTTATATCTAAATATAATATAGTATATATATACATATTAATTTAAATAAAAGGCAATTTTATAATATAGTACATACGTACATATTAATTTAAATAAAAAGCAGTTTATAAAATATTCTAGTCGTACAAAAGATCGTTGAAGTTATTTTTCTAAATGCAAGCTTGGTTTAGTTCAAGCTAACAAATTGAGTTGGATTGTACATTTGGAGCCAATCACATTATTACTTTTAGTAATTGCGAAAAAATTTATTAATTGTAAACGTCATAATTTACAATGGTAATACGTGTAACTTTTTTTTTGATATAATACAATAAATTGAATTTTGAATTAATTGATAAAAATTCCAAGAAATTGATGCAATAAAATGATTACGTTAAATGTATTTATTTGCGAATATAGGATTGAAAATGCATTTGTGTGTAAAGTATTTTTAATATAAAGTGTTCGATTTTACTTGTAAATATCAAAAGAACAAATGATATCAAAATATCCAACGATTTTATTATACATGGTGAAAGCCGATTTTACCTGTCTCATCTTGATTGCTTCTTTAGCTATTACCATAACACAAGCTTTACCGAAGGGTTGTCAAAATGACCAAGCCGACCAGTCTATGAAAGAACAACCACCTATTCCACGACGTTTTATGATGCGGCCGTTTGATTCGACGCCCTGCGAAGAGTCTTTTTTCTACCATGGCGAGTGTCAAAAGTGTCCTGATTATTTTCACAAGTTTGGTAACTGTATGGGATTTCAGCCAATGCCATTTATGACGGGAATTCAACCTCATGGGCAACCAACTCAGGAACCTACGAAAACAACTCAGGAACCTACAGAAACAACTCAGGAACCTACAGAAACAACTCAGGAACCTAC